TATTTATATAAAAGAGAACCCTAGGCACGTCTACGTGGCGCCACTAGCTAGAATTTTCTTTTAAATTTATTTATTTCCAAAAATAGTCTTCCCCTTTCATGAAAAGATGTGTCTTTTATGAAAAGTTGTGATTTTTATGAAGAGTTATCCAAAAATAGACATCCCTTTCATGAAAAGATGTGACTTTTATGATGAGTTACGACTTTTATGAAAAATTGTGACTTTTATGAAAGGTTCTGACCTTTCCGAATAGTTGTAACTTTTCAAAGAGTTGTGACATTTTTGATAAGGCATAATAAGCATTCGTTCACACTATCCTTTGTTGTCTATTTGAGGGATTTCCTCTCATTTTAAAACAACGAAAATTCTGAACTTCTTCTTCTGCACAATTAAATATTCAAGTACTTTGCTCCTGTTGAATGGCTCACTGACACCATTGTTCTTGTATCAATATACTTGTGAATAAAATCGTTCCATCCTGAGAGGATCTATTCCATTAAACCTCGGGTACTAGAGGGGAATAATTTCCTTAAGGGGACACTGTGCATTCAGTGGGCTCAATTTTTTACCTTTCTAGTTCATTCTATTGTTATAAATCCTGGTATATTTTTTTTACAGTCATTAATTTATGTTTATGATATTAATTGTTGTTTTTTAGTACATGTTTTAAACTTTGTTGTTTATGTTTCTGCAAAGTTATTATTATAAGTATTTGTTAGTACATATAAATATTATTTATTTATTAGAAAATTTAATATCTCATGTTGATGTTCATCTTATTTCCCTAAAATATCAAATAGTAATACTTCGTGGAGGCAAAAGGATAAATTATAAAATCAAATTAAAGATGATTGATTGAAGGATAAATGATAAGATGTTATAATTAATATTTTCCTTTACATTATTAATGTCCGTTACTACGTAATCTTGTATGTAAGATAATATAGTGTTTTAGTTTTACTGACTGATAGATTGTAAGTAAATTATATGATATTAAATTTTCGCGTGAAACGCGGATAATTTTACTAATTTAAAGAAAAAAACAGAATGACATGACAATAATTCTTAACACCACCACTAGAGCCGTCAAAATGGGCTTAGCCCATGGAGCTGGCCCAACCCTACCCGTTATTGAGGTAGGGTTGGGACATGATTTTTCAAGCCCATTTAAAACTAGGGTTTATAAGCCCGGCCCATATAAGTCCTTGGCCCTTGAGGCTTGATCGGGGTTGGGCCGGGGTCTGCCCATGGGCAAAAACTTTATATTCAAGAGTAATTTACAATAATCTCACTAGTATATAATCTAATAATTTGAATACACCCTATGTTGTATATTATGAATCTTCGTATTCAGATACCTGTATCTCGGAATATATGGACTCAAAATTAGGTTAATTTGTTCTAGATACATTCTATCAAAGTAGATTCGCATGTATCTAGGATATATATACAAATCTCGAGCCCTCACCTCCCTCCCATCTTGCTTGTCACTCTCTCATCTCACTCACATATCTGGTATGCGAGATCAATGCTAATTACACTAATTTTTTGCTAGTGTTATTGAAACAACACCATTGTTTGCCATATTTGATTTGAAAATCTTCTCATTTTCTTGATGTTATAGAATTACAAGTTTGAAAATAAAATAAAAATAAAAAAGGGCTATCCCGCCCCAGCCCTCGGCCCTTCTAAGGTTGGGTTGGGTTGAGCATTTTCAAGCCCTACCAAATGAAGGGCCAGCCCGCCCTAGCCCTTCAAATTCCTTGGCCTGCGAGGCTTGGACCGACCCTTTTTGACAGCTCTAACCACCACCAACAACTTAATATCAGTGTTGTCCCACAAGTGGAGTCTGCAATTCTTACGGTTAATGCTAAAACTCCTTACCATATTGTTTTTCCTATTAATGAAAAAGATATTTTTAAAAAATGGGAGAGCTTCTGCCTAATAAGATGAGCTGTTTGTAGTTACTATAATTTAATTTTGATAGTGCCCCATCAGTAACAAACTTCTCTACCTCTTTTGTCTTTGTATGACACACATTTCAATATAATATTAAAGTTGCATTCATATACCAAAACTTTACGGGACCGCAAGCCTCGAAAGCCAAAAACAAAAAGGAAGTTTTGGGCAGAATTTAGGTGCATGTCTAAGAAAAACAAATGAGTATTATTCTAAGGAGAATAAATACATTCTTTAACGTAGCACAAAAGCAAAGTCCTCATTAAGACCCCCCTAAACAAAACCAAACATAAAATTACATCCATAATATGAAGAAACTTGAATAATTTCATCCATTAGAACTTAAAGAAAAAATTGTTTTCGTGAAATTGGTAGATCACGAGTTCAAATCATGAAAACACCGTGTATTTTTATACTAATATAGAAAAATTAAAGCTTATACTGCCTTGCGAAAAAATTTACAATGGTAGAGGGTCCAACTAACAATAGTTGTGTGAGACTCCATTCTTCTTTTAACACTCGGATAGTGAACCCTTTTCTTACTTTTTACATGTTATCCACCACTTCTCTTCCACTCACTCCTCTCGTCTTTTATTTTCTGTTCTTTTACTCCTAATAAATATCTAATTTTTAAATGCATAATTAAATAATTATTACATTTGATAAAAAAAATATAGATGAACATATTTTCTGTTAAATTATTTAAAAACTTTTAGAACTGTTAATTTTAAAAATAAACTTACTGCTCAATATTTTTTAATAAAATAAGTCAATTTCTGATCTTGTGTGTTTTTTTAATAAAATAAGTCAATTTCTGATCTTGTTTAAAAATTATAGATAATTTTTTTAATCTTAATTATAATTTAAAATAAAAATACTAACGAGATAATAAACATGACAAATGGGACGGATTTATAAACAATTTTAAAAAATTATGCAGGATAAAGCAAATCACATAGTGAAATTTAAGTCTTTTGAATTAAAACTTTAAATACTTAATTTATTCTTCAAGAATCA